TTGCTTCTCTGATAACTGCAGCAGTTTGATGGTGACAGAAACTCAGAAACAGTAAACATAAGCTGCGTCAGGACCAATAAAAATCAGCATATTAATATTTGGATGCACCCTTTAGCTCCATAACTTCCATGAACTTATATTTAATAATCTCCTAAACAGCTCTCACCTGCATCCTGCAATATATTCTCTCCTAAACGCAGTGTGAGTTGTTAATGTTGGGGTTTCTTCCCTTTTTAGTTTTATATTCTCTCCCCTTGTTATTTCCCTTATCATTATTATTAGTGGTAGTAGTAGTAGTTTTGTATTATACTTTAGTTACTGGACTGTTCTTATCTCAACCTGTGGGATTTACATTCTTTTGATTCTCCTCCCTATCCCTCTGGGAACAGGGTGGGGGGGAAGAATAGGGGAGACTGAGCAAGCAGTAATGTGGTTCTGAGTTACTGGCTGGGCTTAAACTACAACAAGAAGGCTTCTGAAAGACAGAGTTGCTAGAATAAAAGAAAGGGCACACTTATGACAAACCTCAATTTCCAATTTTTAAAGTGGATTATTGGGAACACTAGAAAAAGAGGAAGTAAGGCTGGTAAAGACCACTTGGATCACCAAACCTAGTCTCACTATCTCAGACAAACTGATATACAGACCTCATTGTCTTTCTTGAGCTTAGGTGACATAATTCCAAACAGAATCCTACTCAGCCTTGAACAATTACTTTAATGCTTCCCTGAACTCTTCTCAAAATATTTTTCACCTGGCTGAAGCAAGGATCTCTATTGCTTTTCACTACTGGATCCCATACCGATTTCTTTTAGCAAATAGAGCAAACTATTACCAATTAAAAAATAAACTGGCATTTGTGATATGTGGTTAATAAATATTCCATGTCAAAATGAAAATGGGGAAAGCTATACTGTTGCTCCTAGAAACAGCTCAAGCCTTCAGAAATAATTAGAAAACCAAGCAAGACTTTTGGATTTAGAATACCACTAATCACAAATATTTCATCATATTGAGAACAAAAAAGAATCAAATGCAAATTTTCTCTTCTGCCTGTCTAGATTGGCATTTAATATAATTCAATACTCATTAAGCATTTAAAAAAAAGAAAAAGGAGAGAGAAGTGATAGACATGTTGTAAGCCTCCTCTTTTCCTCTGCTTTTACACACTTCTCTTCAGTGAGGGTTTTTCTCTTTCCTCTGGTTTAATGATCTGAATCAGCTTGGTAAACAATGAGTGTCATAGTCACCATAAATGAGAAGCAGGATTGCAGAGGCAGGATAAGGGTAGGGAAGAAGTGGTGAGGAATGTAGATAGTTGAGCCAACTTTATCAGTGACAGCTGTGAGATCAGCCCTCTGGACCAAATCTAGCTGATTAGCAGCAGCATGGAACTCATTGCTCAAGAGAAGGAAGGCTAGATGGAGTTGCTGTTTCAGAGTTTATATGACCTTCTTATCCTCAGTAGAGTTAATTCTGCTTCAGGTGCCAGAAAGAGAAAGGTACAAGGACAGATAAGGTAGAGTGAGAGCATAAGCATGTCTCCACATATGAGTATCAGTCATTTCACAAGCATGAAGGGGTGAAAAGTAAAGCCCAGCTGGTAAGATGTAATGGCTTGAATAGAATATTCCACCAGGAAGTCACTGACTTCAGGCCAAAATGTGACTTCGTAGTCACATTATTAGTATTCATAGTATTATTAGTATTCCATATTAGTAAGTGTTATATAGTATTTAATTTTAATAGCACTTTTGAAAATTGCTTGGGAATTCCATCACCTTTATTCCAGCCCTACTGCTGACCCAGTGTAACTACACGGAAAAATCTTCTCTACAGCTAACAAACCTAAACTTAACCCTTTTGTGAAGGACTTTTCCATTTCAATCTTGAGCATCACTGTTTAAAAAAGATGTTGCTATTCATTACAAACAAAATGTAAACACTTACATATTTCTCACATACTCGTTTGAAAGCTTTGAAGAAACTGTAACATTTTTCTCAAAGTAGAAAAAGGAAAAATAAAGATTAGCAGTTAATAAAGTTGTCACCTAGTTATTAAAGGATACAGTTTTAAACACTTTTTACAGCAAAATATATTTAATAAAAATAACTTCATAACCAATATTAACTAATATTTTCTTACTGAAACTTTTATCACTCTCCATCCTGAAGTATCTTGACTGTATGATTTAATTTTTTTTCTGAAACTTAATCTGCAATTTTCTTATAGTCCATTTATCTGTAAAGATTTAAGAGCAGTTTGCTGGTATATGATAAAAGCATTCCTTAAAGAGCAAAGGATCCACTACCTCTCTGGGCAACCTGTTCCAGTATTTTACAACTGCATAGTAAAGAATTTCTTCTTTACATCCAGCCTGAATCTCCCCTCTGTTAGTTTAAAACCATTACCTCTCATCCTATTGCAACAGGCCCTGTTCAAAAGTCTTTCTCCCCATCTTTCTTATAGGTCCCTTTTAAGAATTGAAAAGCCATAACAAGGTCTCCCTGGAGTCTTCTCCAGGCTGAACAACCCCACCTCTCTTAGCCTTTCCTCATAGGAGAGGTACTCCATCCCTCTGATCATTTCTGTGGCCCTTCTCTGGACCCTCTTCAACAGGTCCATGTCTTTCCTGTATTAAGGACTCCAGAGCTGTACACAGGACTCCAGGTGGAGTCTCACCAGAGCAGAAAAGAGGGTCAGAATTACCTCCCTTGACCTGCTGGCTACGCTCCTTTGGATGCAGCCCAAGATACAGTTGGCCTTCTGGGCTGCAAGCACACATTGCCTGCTCATGTCCAATCTTTCATCCACCTGTACCCCCAAGTCCTTCTTCTCTGGGGTACTCTCAATCCCTTCATCCCCCAGCCTGTATTGATACTGTGAGTTGCCCTGACCCAGGTGCTGGAGTCTGCACTGGGCCCTGTTGAATCTCATGAAGTTTGCATGGGCCCACCTCTCGAGCCTGTCCAAGTCCTTCTGGATAGCTTCCTGTCCCTCAGGCATTTCAACTTCACCACTCAGCTTCATTTCATCTGCAAACATGCTGATGGCACACTCAATCCCACTATGTCGCTGATGAAGATATTAAAGAGTACTGGTCCCAGTCTGGACCCCTGAGGGAGGCCACTTGTCTCTGGTGTTCATCCAGACATTGAGCCATTGACCACTACCCTCTGGATGCAACCATCCAGCCAATTCCTCATTGAGGTGCCTGAATAGGAATGAAAGACAATGGGTCAGATTATTTTAATAACAAGTTTACTTGCCCCGCAGAAGACTTGCTTTGTCTCTAACCTTCAGTGCAGAATTTTTCCTACTGCTTACAAGCTAGGGTATTAATCTCCACTATCTAAAATAGAACTGGTGTTGTATTTAGTTTGGATTATAGCATAGCTTCAATTCTTGATTTATGAGAAGTAGAAGAGAGTTTTGTGGTGGGGTGTGTATGTACATGTGTGTGGTGGCTTGTTTTTTTTTTTTCCCTCCCACACCCATCCTTGAGTAGATTAGCTTCAGATTGTGGTCTATTTTAAGTATTTTTCTTCCACCTTTTACCTCTCATTAATTATGTCTCTCCATATTTCTAGATTAATTTAAATGAGTTTGAAATAGGTTTGTCTTAATTAGCTTTTTTCCCCCAGAATTCAGTACATATTTTGTAGGGAAGTTATTGCCTCAAGGTGTTTTTAAGTTAAAAACAAACAAAAAACACTTTGGAAAAGAGAAGAAAAAGTTCTTCAGTAGTTTTCTGAAGAAAGAAAAATGCTCTGAGCTCAGTTAACCTTCTGGGTATCAGTAGTTGGGAGGATTCTGACACTTGGTTTGTTTCACTGGATAGAAATTTGCATTAGACCAAGGGACTGTTGACTTCACATCATGAGTATTTAGCCATTTTCACAGCTATCTATACTGAGAGACTATCACAAACTGGTGTTGCAGTCTGAGTTTTACATAGCAGGTCTTGGTACTTAATTTTCTGCTGAGCTTTTAAGTCTGGGGGCAGCACCATTGTCCCTTTAAGTGAAACAAACTGTGGAGCTTCTTGTCAGTAAGGTGCTTATTAGCAATGACTTGCACGCAGGGCATGCAGACTAGTTAGTAAGTTTACCAGAATCACCAATGAGGTCGGTGAAAATACACATGGATTAAATGTGTATTTAGTGCAGGCAGCATGCACAATGTGTGTGATGGTGTTTGGGATGCTTGAGAACGAAGTAGAGATGAGGGGATAGAAAGTTCTGTGATGTCAATATCAGTAGGCATACCACTTTCATAGGATAACTGAAAATTGGATATTTGCTGATGTTATTCAAATCATCAGCTGGGACTTTGGAGTAATAAGAATTCCATATTTTCAAATTAAGATTATTTAAATAACTTCCCTACAACTGATTTCATTTGTTATGTTGGCATCTACATACACAATTGCAGCTTTGGACCTGTTTCATATTTTGTATCATCTTGCTTGGTGCTTGTTGCTTGTTGCTCAGTTATTTACCTGGTTTTGCTCACCAGTCTTAGTGACTGAATAAGAGACATCATGGCCCCTCAAATCCTAGTTCTGCATGTCTCTTTAATGCCTTGCTCTTCGATAGTGGAGAAGGTTTGCTGTTGTGTCTAGGTTGGCCTTAGCTAGCAGTCAGTTTAAACCTTGCATGCAGTCCTTCCATTTGTGCAGAGGGTTCCACACTTGGCCACAGCCTGACATTTATACTTATACTGAAATTTGGTTTAGCTGTCCTGCTAACCCAAATTCCCAAGGTGTAGTGTATCCTAGTGTCCAACAGCCTGACACAGAAATTAAATCCTGTGCAAAGGATGGGAGTGGATGTGGGCAGGTATACCATCACTGATCAACACATCACTGAACATGCCACATGGAATAAAGATAATGGAAACTTTTTAGATATTTAACAAGGTATAAAGCCTGTTGAAATAAGTCAAGGTTGTATCCTTTTGTACAACAAAACATACTAAAGTGTTTTCTTCTTTTTAGTCCAAGTGGTAAGAAGTTCAGAAGCAAGCCTCAGTTGGCAAGATACTTGGGAAACACTGTTGATCTCAGCAGTTTTGACTTCAGAACGGGAAAGATGATGCCCAGTAAATTGCAGAAGAACAAACAGAGACTAAGGAATGATTCTCTCAATCAAAATAAGGTTTGTTAGTAAATACTCTGTTTACGGATATCCTAAGAATTTCTTTTCCTGTAGTTCATTTAGCAATTTCTTTTCTGCTTAAAGCAGTCTGCTTCTAAGATGTACATGTATGTTTAATTTTTAGTAGTGGTAGAGACATAAATTTATAAACAGAAGGAATACTCTGCTACTACCAAGAAAAAATATCAAGGTAAGGTTAAGTATGAGTCAAAAGTGTGAGTAATTCGGGAATTGGCTTGGGACTAAGAACCTCAGTGCTAGTCATCTACCTGAACTATATTCTTAAAAATGGGAGAAGTTAGGACTCCAAGAGCTTCTCTTGTGCAAGGCTTCAAATTGCTATGTTCATCTTCCTGTTCTGAGATGAAATAGTTAACATTTTTATTTTTAATGCATGCAGTATGTGCCAGGAAGCTTGTTTTCTAAGGCAAATGCATCAAATCTGGATGTCTGTGTACAGCTATGTAGCTTAACAAGGCCAAGCGTTTTCTGTTTAAGATTGAGGCTTTTGATTGATATTGATCTGATTGTGCTTATTGTCTGGGTTTTTTTTTGAACAACAGTGTATCTTTTTGAATACTGAAGAAAATGTGTATAATAGATTAAAAATAAAAGGCCGAAGCATACAGAAGTGAAATAACTGATGATGCATGACAAGTAAATTTAGCTGACTCTCAGATAGCATGTTCCTGGACCTTAGAAACCTCATACAACAGTTTGAAAGGATTTCTGTAACAACCTGCACTGTTTTCTTTTTAAAGTGTTTTATTCTTCAGGATTTCATAACTTACAGTAGTGTATTAAAATACCTAATGAGTTACAGCTATGCCTTGTGCACTGATGTTTTTTGTCGTCTGCCATTTGTAATGCATGAACTACACATTTCATGGCGATTTCTTTTTATTTAAAGCATGTGTTCAAATTATTTAATATTTTCTTCCTACAGACATGAGGCTTTCAAATAATATAACATTTGGGGGTAGTCCAAGGAAAGGGTTTGGTTAGACTTTTTGCATGAGCAGAAATTACAAAATTTGGTATATAAAATCTATCTGAGCTTGTGCTCACTTTGTATTCCTATGATCTTAGATTCCTTGGATGTTGCTCACAGTCGCTACAAGATTAGAAAGAAAATGCTTTTTACATAAATAATATGTGTTATTTCTAAGTGACTGAATCTGTAACTCATGAGCTTTCAAGATTTTCTGCAGTATTCCTGTGATAGTTAAAAAGGAGATCTCAACTTATTCCTGAAGTTTATTGTTTTTTTCCACAGACACCGAGAGAGATTGGTTGTGGTTGCCTTCTAATCCACCTTGCCAGCTGTGCTGCTGGGGTCCATAAAAGACAGACTTGCATAAGCAACTTTGTGTGTAAACTTGCTCATATTTTATGGGTTGTTTTTTTTTTTACAAACAATTTACTACAAATGCTTCTAAATTCTTTGGCTCCCCTTAGGTTTCAAGATGAAATGTCAAAATACACTTGAGTTTTCTTTCTCTGACATGTTGAGGCAGTTAGATTTCTGCAGCTGTTGGATGGAAATGCTGTCTTGCCATACTTCTCATTTTTGAGATTCATATCTTTAGCAGGTTAGAACTCAGTGTCAAGACTGACATACTAATGACACCTGGCTTAAAATGGGACTGAGGATAATATACGCTAATGAATGCTCTCCATTTTGGGATGTTAATGTATAACAGTGTAAACAACAGGGAAATATTCTTACAGAAAAATATTTATCTCCAATCTTAGCATTGTGCATTCTTGCCAATCTTTCATTATGGGCAATAAAAGTGTATATTTGATAGGTTTATTTACAGTAGAGCTGCAGGAGGAGTTTTGCTTCAATCTTTACTAATCTTGCCGTTGCTGTCTGTGTGGCCTTTTTTACATTTCCCTTGCAAATTAAGTTTATTTATTTGAAGAGCTTTTGAAGAGACAATAAAATAAGGGACACAAATGAATACGAATCCAGTATATGCATCACACTGCTGTGCTTATAAAAATATGCTTACCAATTTTTTATTTTGAAAAGAAAACATAATAGAGGGTACTGGCTAAGCATGCTGTCTGATTATAAGTGACTTCTTAGGTAAAAGGATTTGAAAGGCCTGGAAACACGTTGCTGAGGTTTTAAAATGTTTTTATGTCTGGGGCAAATTGATGCTTCTGGAAATGGAATCACAGAATCATAAAATAGTTAGGATTGGAAAGGACCTTAAGATCATCTAGTTCCAACCCCCCTGCCATGGGCAGGGACACCTCACACTAAACCATGTCACCCAAGGCTCTGTCCAGCCTGGCCTTGAACAACGCCAAGGATGGAGCATTCACAACTTCCTTGGGCAACCTGTTCCACTGCCTCACCACTCTCACAGTAAAGAACTTCTTCCTTATATCTAACTTGAACTTTCCCTGTTTATGTTTGAATCCATTGCCCCTTGTCCTATCACGACAGTCCCTATTAAAGAGTCCCCCCCAGCATCCTTATAGGCCCCCTTCAGATACTGGAAGGCCGCTATGAGGACTCTATGCAGCCTTTTCTCCAGGCTGAATAGCCCCAACTTTCTCAGCCTGTCTTCATATGGGAGGTGCTCTATCCCTCATATCACCCTTGTAGCCTTCCTCTGGACTTGCTAAAACAGTTCCATGTCCTTCATATGTTGAGGACACCAGAACTGTACACAGTACTCCAAGTGAGGTCTCGTGAGAGCAGAGTAGAGGGGCAGGATCACCTCCTTTGACCTGCTGGTCATGCTGCTTCTGTTGCAGCCCACCTAATTGGTCAGATAGGATTTCCCCTTAGTGAAACCATGTTGGCTGTCACCAACCCCCTTGTTTTTTTTCATGTGCCTTAGCATGCCTTCTAGGGGAATCTGCTCCAATGTTTTTCCAGGCACAGAGGTGAGACTGACTGGTCTATAGTTCCCCGAGTCTTCTATTTTCCCCTTCTTGAAAATGGGGGTTATATTTCACTTTTTCCAGTCATCAGGAACTTCACCTGACAGCCATGATTTTTCAAATATGATGGACAGTGACTTAGCAACTTCATTCGCCTGCTCCTTCAGGACCTGCGGATGGATTTCATCAGGTCCCATGGACTTGTGTACATTCAGGTTCTTAAGATGGTCTTAAACCTGATCCTCTCCTACAGTGGGCCTAAGGTCTTCATTCTCACAGTCCCTGTGCCTGCCTTCCAAGACCTGGGTGGTGTAGTCACAGCCTTTGCCAGTGAAGACCAAGGCAAAGAAGTCATTCAGAACCTCAGCCTTCTCCAAATCCTGTGTAGCCTGTATTTTCTGGCCTATTTCTTCTGTTGGTCTGGAAAACTGTTTTAGCTCTTGAGAGAGGATGAGCAAATGAGTATTAAGCAATGTTCTGGGTTTAGCTGGGATAGAGTTAATTTTCTTCCTAGTAGCTGGTGCAGTGCTGTGTTTTGGTTTCAGTCTCAGAACAATGCTGATAACACACCTATGTTTTAGTTGTTGCTCAGTAGCACTTACCCTGATCAAGGACTTTTCAGTCTCTCATGCTCTGCCAGTGAAGAGGGGCACAAGAAGCTGGGAGGGAGCAGAGACAGGACACCTGACCCAAAGTAGCTAAAGGGATATTCCATACCACAGCACACCATGCTCAGTATATAACCTTGGAGTAGTCACCCAGAAGGATCGATCACTGCTCATGTCAGGCTGGGTATCTTTCAGCAGGTGGTGAGCAGTTGTATTGTGCAGCACTTCTGTTTATTGGGTTTTTTTTCCTTTCCCCTTTTAGTTTTATATTCTCTCCCCTTGTTATTTCCCTTATCATCATTATTATTATTCATAGTAGTAGTATTATATTATGCTTCATTTCAGTTATTAAACTGTACATATCACAACCCTCAGGTTTTACATTCCTTTGATTTTCCTCCCCATCCTGCCTGGAGGGGAGGAAGGCAGATGGTGTGAATGAACGGCTGTGTGGTACTTAGTTGCCAGCTGGATTTAAACCATGACAAGAAGGACTCTCAAAATGCTACAGCACTAACTTATAAATGAGTGTATGAATTGAATCAAATTACTGAATAGCTAAGAAAATGCATAGTACTTTTGTTAAACCACCATCTCTGCCAGCTGCATGTAAAAATTGAGGCCTGAAATTTTAAAACTAGTCCTCTCTTTAGGTTATGTTGAGATGCCTAGATAAATATGAAGTGTTATTCTGTTGCTCTTTCCTATCAGTTTGTCCTGGGTTCAGCAGTAGCAGTCATTTTTCTCCTTCTTAGTAGCTGGTGCAGTGCTGTGGTTTTGACTTTCAGCCTGGGAACAGCGCCGATAACACCGATGTTTTTAGTTGTTGCTAAGTAATGTTTACTCTGGCCAAGGACTTTGTGAGTCTCATGGTCTGCCAGGGAGGAGGGGAAGCCGGGAGGAAGCAGAGACAGGACACCTGACCCAAAGTAGCCAAAGAGGTATATTCCATACCACAGCACGTCATGCCCAGTATATAAACTGGGGGCAGTTACCCGGAAGGGCTCAATCCCTGCTCGGCTCGGGCTGGGTATTGGTCGGTGGGTGGTGAGCGGTTGTATTCTCTTCCCTTGTTATTTCCCTTATCATTATTATTATTAGTGGTTGCAGTAGTGGGTTTGTGTTATACAGCTCTGCACCATCTACTAAGAAGGAGAAAAATAACTGCTACTGCTGAACCCAGGACACTTAGTTATTGGACTGTTCTTATCTCAATCCATGGGAGTTACATTCCTTCGATTCTTCTCCTCATCCCTCCAGGAGCGGGGGGAGGAAAGGGGGGAGTGAGTGAGCAGCTGCATGGTTCTGGGTTGCTCCCTGGGCTTAAACCATGACACAGTTACACTCCTTAGAATTGCATGGAGGAATTCCTTATTTTATCTGCCAGGATGGATCTAATAGCACTGTGTCACCCTGGAGAGGTGATAGAAAGAGCCTTCTTCCTTTGCCTCTCCCCTCACCCATCAGATGAATCAAATATTTGGATAGGAGCAGCCAATGCAATAACCACTGTAGTATGTAAGGATGTATTTTGAGATTAAGTGGATTGCCTGTAGAATGGTCTTCATGATGGAAATTACTTTCTGGGGAGTGAAAAGATGATACTCTATTGCTGGGTTTTAGATTATGTCCTGTACGCATGTAGAAAGAATGACTTCACACTCCCTTTCTCATCAGCCACCCTGCAATAACAGATGTATGCTAAAATACAGGACATTCTGAAGGTGGAGGAACTGCCTTGTCAGATTGCTCTAGCACAGCTCTAAAAGAGGGATACATACTCTTAAAATATGAATTTAATCTGAGACCAATGTAGTGAAGAGAAGTCTTGTTGCTTAATAAACCTAAGCCTCTCACCATACTTTTAAATTTGTTTTTATACAGATCATTGCAGAATATCTCTAGTCAGTATTCTTACTTTCATCATCTGGAATTCCAGAGTGTTCAGTTTAGAAATGAATGATTTTCAAACAAACATGGGCTCTCTGGTCCTTACAATAATATCTTTTGTGAAGTTGTGTAGTCCAAATTGTATACTCTAAATGTGGAGGAATTGAAGATTGAAGTTTAATTCCCATTTATAAGCCCAAAAGATTAATTTATCTCACAAATTTAGGATTCTAAGTAAATCCAAATGAAAAACTCTTTTAAGATGATCCTTGGATGGAGTCTAATGTCAATGTTCATTGTGTAAATTTTGAGCTATGATCTCACAGCCAATTATAAAACTTCTGAGATATGAAATATTACATAAGAACTTACTTTTCTTCCTTTTGAACAAGTAACCATAAACTTCTAAAAAGCAAAAGCTTAACCATTTTTCTTTGCCGGAAGCTAGATATGGCTACTAAATGTTTTGAAGTGCTTAAAACTCTCCTGCAAAATAGTGAACTTGCTTTTTGATTAATGTTTATTGGGAAAATATGTATCATAAGATATTTATTTTCAGTGTCTCTCTTGTTTCAATATAATGACCTGTCTTCTCAGTCACATCCTTGTATCTTTGAAAAAAAAAATAATAAAAAATTCAGTTTTTAAGAAAAATATCAGGCAAAATGCAGATCAGAAAAGTTTGAAATTTTGTGTTGAGGACTTGGAAGAAATGGGAATTGCAAACAGAAAGCTGTAAGGTGTTCTGTTGGCACAGCACTTCAAACTCAGTCTGATTTTGGATAAAGAGACAGATCTAGAAAACTGGAATGGCGTACAGGTGAGAATTCTATTCCCTCACCCTAAATGCTTCTGGGGTTGTTGCTATGGAGAAGGGTTTAGGTACTAATATCTCCAAAGGTCTAAGGGTTACATGTGTGACAAGATAGTGTTGGTAAAGTTATATCCAATGTCTGGGAATCATCACTTCACAAACCTGATAAAAACTAGCTTTGTCAAAAGACTTGTTAAAGTTGATATAGTTTTAGTTTCTTTCTGGAATAACTTGCTGCACTTAATTAAGGATTGTTTGATGTAGAGATTGCTTAGGAAATTAGTGACCAATGTTATGTAGGAAGTTGTTGTCCTCTAAGACTTGGAACTCTATATATTCATGAAGCTTTGGAGATTTCATTTTGACATCTGATCGTGAAGCTGTGTTGTTTCAGAATGTAAGTCACTTGAACAATTAACATATATATTTTAACAAAAGATGGACTTTCAAGCAGTTTGATTCTTCCCAAGAAGGTGAAAATCTGTGGAACCAGTTGCATGTTACTTTTTTTTTTCTCCTTTCTTTAAAATGGATGACTGGCAAAGGTTAGTTAAGTACAGCATTCATTGGAAATCTTCACTCCAAAGAAAACCTCCTTGTTTTGAACATCAGTAGAAGAGGGTGAATCCAACATTAATTTGTATACTTTTTATGTATAACTTTTGTTAATTCACTTTTTCTTGTTGTTTTTTTTTTTTTTTACAGGGAAAACCAGACTTAAATACAGCTTTACCAATCAGACAAACTGCATCAATTTTCAAACAACCAGTCACCAAAGTTACTAATCATCCTAGTAACAAAGTACGGTCTGACTCACAGCGAGTGATGGAGCAGCCACAACAGGTAAGAATTTATCTATTTACATTGTTACTGCTCAGAAGGTTGAAACAAGCTGAAAATGTGCTTGTTTTCAGCTGTGAAATTCTGATAAGAATTCTCGTCTTGAAGATTACTTAAAGAAATGTGTGTAATACATAGAATTTAAAAAAATACAGAAACAACAGTAATTTCATATGGAGATTAATATTTCTTAATCCAAATCTTCATTCATATTTCATTGACACATTCCTCTTGAAATTCAGATATGTGCTGAAATTCAGATATGTTGCAATTGGACATCAAATATTAAAAAAATTTCATGTGCAGCTTCTTAATAGAAGTTTCTATAAAATACATGGTTCTCATCAAGAAGTAATCTCTCTTTTATACAGAATAACGTAGTGCAAAATCAATGAAAAAAAAAGTATTTTAAATCCCTCTTTTTCACTGCTACTACTATAAATACAAACCACAGTAACATAAACTCATCTTGCACAAGTTATCCTTTACCTGCTTTTCTTTATATTAATGACAGATTGCCTGTTCACACAGTGCTTTTTTTGTTTGGGTTTTGTTGTTTTGTTTTTTTTATGGGGAGGAGGGAGCTGAGAAGAAACAGGAATCTAGTTAATGAACGAGTGATCAGGTAGGTAACGTAGTGTATACTGGACTGAGGTATTGTTTTTAAGTCTGACTTGTATTTTTTGAGTTAATTTGAAACATCTTATTCTATCTTACGAGTGCAGGGATGAGAGGAAAATGCATAAACATGTTCAAATTTTTCTATACTCATATGTCACTAACTTAACATTTCCTTTGAAACTCAAGCTGTCTCTAATACTGCACTTTCAAACATCTTGAATACTGTGCTTGTAAGAAATAACATAAGGAATTTAGACTCAGCATCCTCTAAATTCAGGTGTGAAAGAAAAAGAAGAAATATTGAGCTGTATTGGTTCATTTTGTTGAGATATTTTAGCAAGATTTGAAGGCCTCAGCTAACCTCACTGTTGGTCCCATGAAGTTCAACAGGGACCATGTAAGTGTATCGCGTTCAGATCTAAAGATGCATAACTGCATGTGTCTGTTGATTCTCTTCACATTCTTGGGGTTTTCTTTTTGAACTACTACACTTGGTGTGTCAGGAATTTCCTTTTGGACATGTCTGCTGAACCAGTAATAATCACCAAAGCATATGAAAGTTATGGCACCTTTCTGGTGTCACAGAGTCCTAGTGCTGAGTTAAGCAGTGGTATGTCCTTGCTTTTGTTCTGTTCTAGTCTCTGTTATCTTGAAGGTTAGCGTCTTTGGTCTTATTTACTGTCTCCTTAATTGTTATCAGTCCCGTGATGTTACTTCCCCCATCATCCAGACATTCCTTATTCCCTGTGTGTCAGCAAGTTAGAACAGTTTGCTGTATTTTACTGTTAGTTTATAGTCACACACACCTGGGTCAGAGCAATCACATGCACAGATACAGGTTGGGCAGAGAAGAGATTCAGAGCAGCCCTGCGGAGAAGGATTTGGGGGTGTTGGTTGATGAGAAACTTAACATGAGCTGGCAGTGTGTGCTTGCAGCCCAGAAAGCCAATTGTATCCTGATCTTCATCAAAAGGAGCATGACCAGCAGGACAAAAGAGGTGATCCTGCCCTCTACTCTGCTCTTGTGAGACCTCACTAGGAGTACTGTGTACAGTTCTGGTGTCCTCAACATAAGAAGGACATGGAACTGTTGTAGCAAGTCCAGAGGATGTCCACTAGTATGATCAGGGGGCTGGAGCACCTCCTGTATGAAGATAGGATGAGAAAGTTGGGGCTATTCAGCCTGGAGAAAAGGCTGCATGGAGTCCTCATAGCAGCCTTCCAGTATCTGAAGGGGGATGAATAGGATGCTGGGGGGGACTCTTTAATAGGGACTGTCATGATAGGATAAGGGGCAATGGGTTCAAACATAAACAGGGAAAGTTCAAGTTAGATATAAGGAAGAAGTTCTTTACTGTGAGAGTGGTGAGGCAGTGGAACAGGTTGCCCAAGGAAGTTGTGAATGCTCCATCCCTGGCGTTGTTCAAGGCCAGGCTGGACAGAGCCTTGGGTGACATGGTTTAGTGTGAGGTGTCCCTGCCCATGGCAGGGGGGTTGGAACTAGATGATCTTAAGTTCCTTTCCAACCCTAACTATTCTATGATTCTATTGTTTTTTTAAACCTATAATTTAAGCCTACATGCCTATGATCTTCATATAGGTAAATCTGTCAATTAGAGCAACAGATCGTTGTGGCAACTGCTGTTTCCATGTATTTGGGGTGCTTGTTCATTGCACACAAGAAGTGTCATGAGGTTGTCTAAGCCTTTTTCAATCAACAGCTCTGCAAGACAGCATCTTAAAGCTTTCAAAACCATTCTTAAAGGTTTTATATGATCATCAGAATGCTAAACTTTACCCAAGAAAAATTGGAAATGTTTTGGAGAATCCTGGAAGTAGGTAGAGTCAGAACATGAGCTGTGCATGTATGCATGCATGCTCTGATGGAGTCTTCTGGTACTCACTAGGTTTCTCTTAACTATCCAGTCTTCTTCCTTTGCTTGGCTTTTCTTTAAATAACAGTACCAGTCAATCCATGGAGATTTCTTGAATTCTTATATCTAATCAAATGATAGGAGTATCTGTAAGTTCCTAATCAGCAAATCTAATAGCCTCAATTGCAGTTTTCTTCAGAGTGCTTTAACATCTTTTTTAATCATCAACCTGCTCAAAATGTTTCAACTCTCCATAAACTTACTTAAGATAGGTTTTATTACTATTCCTGTGGCTTTTGGGTTTTTTTCCCCCTCGCAGAGGCCACTGATAAATCAGTGTAAGAAAAGGTATCCTGAAAGATTGTTAGTGGGCCCTGCAAGAAAAGAAAACCAAAAAACCAAAAAAACCCAAAGCAACAATCCTCCCTGTTTTAGCCTGCTCTCCATTGTTATACTTTAGTAGGTTTTAATAAGATATGATACATTCTTGATGAATTTAAGGGTAGTGGTTTAGATTTTACAAAGTCAGATTAGCATTGCTGAAATTGAAATTAATGATTAATCAAAAAATCATACAACTGTATCTGTCATCTTCCTCTTAGTTGGTGTTGATTGCTGTTTTAAAATCACATTGTTTTCTCCCTCCCTCCTATTTAGCAAAAAGGCCACTAGCTCTAGCAGCACTTCATGGAGCATTAATGCTCCACTTGTGCTCCTGAATTTGAGCATTCATCAATGAGAAGAGTGAATGTGAAGCAGATGAAGTCCTGTAACTATCTGAAATTATTATAGGCAGTAAATCTTTTATGCAATCACTTAAATGAGTTATTTGTCTGTCAAGTATTCTGTACCTAACTGGATCAAATGGAATGGTGCTGCAAATCAATCTTTTTATGGATCACTTTCCCTTGTACCTACACTTACTCAGTGACATCTCGTTTTGCAGACCATCTAGTGTTAACCAACCAGGTGGTTTTTGATAAATGTTTATCTCAGTGTCTGAAGTCCCACCACCCATTGCTCTCAGTGTAGTTTTTAACAGCTCATTGTACCATTCAATTTTCCACAGAGGCTGGTACATGATAGGGCATGTGATATACCCACTTGATGCCATGCTCTTTGGCCCAAGCGTCTATAAGATTGTTCTGGAAATGAGTCCTGTTGTCTGACTCAATTCTTTCTGGGGTTCCATGTCACCATTGGTATTCTTTCTCAAGGCTCAGGGTAGTGTTCTGGGCAGTGGCATGGAGGACAGCATATGTTTCCAGCAATACGGTGGTTGCTTCCACCATCCTAAGCACATGGTGCTTGCCTTAGTGGGTCAGTGGGAGTGTGATATAATCAATCTGCCAGGTCTCCCCATATTTGTACTTCAGCCATCCTCCTCCATCTATATATTGCATCTCTGCCTTGATGGCCGGAGGTGTCATGGGCCCACCTGCCTTAAAATAAATCACCCTTATGTTACTAATCTACATCCACCTGAGCCATTTCAGTCTTAGCAGCTTTATCTACCTGTTGGTTGTTCTGGTGTTCCTCAGTGGCCTGACTCTTGGGTACATGAGCATCTATGTGGCATATCTTCACCACCAGGTTCTGCACCCAGGCAGCAGTATCTTGCCACAGTGCAGCAGCCCAGATGGGTTTACCTCTGTGTTGCCAGTTACTCTGCTTTCATTGTTGCAACCACCCCCACAGGGCATTTGCCACCATCCATGAGTCAGTATAGAGATAAAGTACTGGCCACTTTTCTCGTTCAGCAATGTCCAGGGCCAGCTGAATGGCTTTCACCTCGGCAAACTTTGACAGATTCACCCTCTCCTTCAGCAGTTTCCGCAACTTGTCATGGGGGACTTCATACAGCTGCCTTCCATCTCCTATACTTTCCCACAGTACGACAGGACCCATCAATAAACAAGGCATATAGCTTCTCACTTTCTGGAATTTTTTCATACAGTGGGGCCTCTTTAGAATGTAACACCTCCTCTTCTGATGACATTACCAAACCTTGGCCTTCTGGCCAGTCCATGATGACTTCTAGAATTCCTGGATGACTGGGATTTCCTATTTGAGCTCGTTGTGTGATTATTGCAACTCCACCTAGCATTAGTTGCATGATGTGTAGATGCCTTTGAACATCCAGCCCGGCACAGGCAACCGTGGTGCCAGGAGGAGCTGTGCTTCAGTGCCAATCACATCTGAAGCAGCTCTAACCCTTTCCTAGGCTGGCAGTGTCTCTTTTGCATTTGAAGCATAGCTGGCCTCGGATCCTCTGTATCCCTGACTCCAAAAGCTGAGGGGTCAACCTCAAGTCTCCCCTGGAGCTTTCTGCCAGAGGCTCCAGGTAGGACCATTCTCTCTCCCCGGTTGTGGTGTAGGCCGTATTTTTTACATCTTGCTCTGTTGGGACTGTTCCAAAGGCCACTGCATAAACCAACTCCTGTTTAATTTCTTCAAAGGCTTTTTGCTCAGGGCCCCATTTGAAATCGTTCTTCTTCCGGATCATGT